TTTCACTTGCCTTATGCACTAATAATTATATTTTCTTTTCAGGTCAGTTATGGTTTAATTTATACCATTATTATTTTACCCTTTTTATTTTTCATGAAATTTCATAATTATGCACGTTTTTTCCTATATGACTCTAATATAAAATTATCATTTAATTTATTTACTCATGAAGGTGAATTGATTTTGTTTAGAAATCGACAGGAGGACTGACGAGGTCATATTTCCTAAGTTTTATCTTTAGTTCTTAGTATGATGAATTATAATTATTGTTCAAAACTCAAAAGTACTAAACATGTGCTCCTATATCAATTTTGATTTTCTCTTATAAATACTAAATTTATTTAAAATATTAAATTTAAATTAATAAAATTTGATCTAAATGGTTGAGAAACTAAAAAAAGGATAGAGACAAACCATTTTGGTATTGTACTGGTTTAAACATAGCATCACTGTCAAAGTTATAATGATTATTCTGGAGAGTTAAATCTGATTAGCATCTGTTATCTCTTATTAAAATAAAAGAAAAAAAATCATGTACGCATTTTATGACAATTAAAGTTAATAATCTATTGATATATAGTTAAAAACCTATCATGGCCTGACATTTAATTTACTGTATATAGAAAACTCTCAACAGATTATTTAGTTAATCCTCTAATAGAAAGTGTTATTCTACTCACGCATAATTAATATCTTGTTAGTCAAATTAAAAGGAAGATCAGTGCTCCCGCATTTTCAGAAAAAAAGGTATTGGAAAGGGAAATTTATGGAAAATATCTGTCCTTTAAGAAGAAGATAAATAGATGATTCCCTTCTACTCGATTAATCATATACGTAATGAAAGTAACTTGACCTAATTACTTTTCTGACTTGGTCCAAAGAAGATGAAGGGTAAGCATATAATTCTAATTCTTAATTTTATCTTGAATTTTGTTATTATTTTATAATTTTGACTTTAAGTTAATGGCGTGTAGCACCTTAATCTTATTTTGAATATGCATCTCATCTTATTTATGATACAACTATCACCCTCTAAAAGATTCAAGTGCCGAATGTAATTCTAAAAAAATAACATTGAGCCATTGAGGTATTCGATGTACTAAAAAAAAAAAATTAACATGGGGGTGTTGGATACCGCTTTAATTTTAAATTAAGTATATCACTCTCATCCCTTAATTTTGTTTTGTTTTGTTTTTCTCACTTGAATATCTCTATTTTATTATAAGGTAATCAATTTCACTTTATTCTATTTGATACTACTATTTTCCAAAAAAAAATGTGTGTTTTTAAAAATTGAGAGATTAGCAGTGTAATAATTTACTAATATTGAATGAAATTTAAAGAATAATTTTGGAAGTAAATTAAAAACATGTATACTTCTTTTCTTTTCTTTTCTTTTTTTGAAAAAACCTATATAAAGTGAAATGCATGTTTACATATAGCGTGCAGAGTATTATATAAGTAGAGAGGTTTGAAAAGGCAAATATATAAATTGATTACGAAGTCATCAAGAAATAGACTCATAATGTGAACATAATTGGAGATGCATGCATACATATCAGAAATATTATATTCTTCATTGCATCCCACTGCTTTATAAAAATATGACTATGAACCAAAATGAATCTTTCAATATTTAAAACTTTAAATGCTTCATGTAGCCAACAGATTTAGAAGATCGAGGCTAATATGAATAGTGCGATTTTGTAAGAATATGAACATATTATAATTTATAGTCTTCAAATATTTTTTAAAAATTTCCCAAAAAGAAACATAACGTATATAACATTATGGGTGCTTGGAATAAACTAGTCTTGGGGGGAATCTTTCGAAATGAAGACAGAATCTCCTGAGTGCACTAGTGTACGGTCTAAATTTGAGGTGATAAACACGAGCACATATTGCTGCAAATTAACAATTATAATTCAAGAAAAATTAATTATACGGTCTATGTTATTTTTACTCAATTTGCAACTTAATAATCCTTTTAGTTATGACTCAGTTAAAACTCAACCCCTAAATTCTAATTCAATGTACACGAATGCAAATAATGTTTACCATTTTAATATTGATTCTTACATTTTAGAATTAAATAAAATTATAAGGACTAAAGTTATGCTTTTAAATTCAGGTACTAATGCTTAAAATGGTTGAAATAGAGGTACTAAGTTGCACTAAACAAAGTTTAAGAGCTGAGTTTCAACCCGATCAAAATTATACGCTGAGTAAGAACTTAGAAATTAAGTTACAATTGAGGCAAAATTGCAGGCACTGATTAATTATTATTATTTCCTTATTTTAATTATAGCCGTATATGGCCCATAGGTGCTCTAACACATGAAATGCTATAGTTATTTGAAAATGGCAACATGTTTATGACATGAAAGAAAAAGATATATATATATATATATATATATATGAAGTGTGGGAAAGTGGGTTTCTGCAGAAGAAAGGAAGAAAGTGGAGAAGAAGGGTATATATGTAGTCTATTTGGGACCTGGTGTACCAATATTGTACTTATCTTCAATCATTTCGATCTCTTCATAACGTGGACACTTGGTTCCCACTTCCTACATTTCAATGTGCACCCCATTTTCATCCATCCCATATGCTTTTGATATCATGTTTAACCATGTTTACATAATACTCCATCCATCCTATTCTTAATTATAACAAATATGAATTTATCTTCTTAAAAAAAATATCCTGTATAATATCATATTATATATTGATTTATAAGTTAAAAAATTAATTCAAAAAAATATGAAAAATAAAACGGACTAAGTTCTTATAATATACTCCCTTGTCCCTCTCTATAAGAAACAATCTCTCTTATGGTGGCATCTCTAAATATAAGAAACCAATCATCTGCATCTAAAATTTTAAACTGGTATTTCTCTTTTTACCATCATTAAATATATGTCACTTGTTATCTCTCTGCAATAAGTTTTTACCCATTATCTTCCATGTTCCCTCTTTATAAATAAATGTATAATTAAAAAAATATGTATATGTTTTACACATTTTTCACTTTTAATTAAATTTAACTAATATTTTGAATTGTATGATTCTAGTAGTTGTTTCTTATAAGAAAGAAGTGATTAGGATGAAATCTAACCTCTCTAATTAACTCCAATATCAACAACCGGAGGTATAATTAACATTATATAAGAAATAAGTTGCGTCTCAAACACTATCAACATCCATTGCTTTTTTTTTAATCAACTAAATTTCTTTATTGCGTGATATTTGTTGGCGCCACCTTCTTTACGTGTTGGATTTCTCACAATTTTTTTCACAGATTCTGTCTAAATTTTGTCATGCTATAAGAATAAGAGAAATTAATATATTAGAAAAATTTTTGTAAGGATTTTCTCTCAAAGCATATATTTATTTTAAAAAGAAGTCATTATACTCTTCTATTATACACGCATCAGTGTGTTAGTTGATATCAAAGTGATGGAAAGGTCAAAGTTAGGTCAAAATATGATAGTTAATTAAGCTTAGCTTATTCCTACCATAAGGAAAAAGAAGTTAATTATATAATGAGTCGGTGCAATTAAACAAATTAAGACAACGTATAATTAAAAGTTCTAATTAACATTTGGTTTAATCATAAGTAGTAGTGCTACTCCAACACTAACACTAATGAACGCGCACACAATCTCCATATATAACAATGAAAAGTTGTATAAAAGGACAAAAGCTTCAAAAAGTGAAACGAGAGGGAAAAGTTAGGTCGGATGGCACATTGAAAATTTCAAAGTTTAATTAGAGATAATGTAAGTGTTGGGGTGGATATTGGAAATCCCACTTAGGCCACAATGGGAATAAAAATATATGAACATCACTTAGTAGAGAATGATATGAAAGCACTATTTTATATTGCAACCTAAAGTTGGGAAAACATTATACACTGTATCCACCTTCCTCACCCATATTTTATTATTCACCACTCCTAAAATATTACGTCATTATACTTGGACCAATCAAAAAAGTTTCAATTAAATTGATGAATATTAATATATATTTTTAATATATATACATGGTTATATATAAAAAAAGAAAATTTAGTAAAAGCATACGCTTGTTTAAAAGATTTATTGGCCGAAGGTACTTAGCAGAACTTATCTTCAATAAATACAAATCTTTTTGAGTTGTATGTGAGTAATTTGTCTTCATAAAAGCCACTCACTTAATTAAATTCATATTTTTTTTAATTAATAAAACTTTCAAATAGTTTTTTTAATTAATTTTTCCTTGTAAAAATTTGTAGTAGCAGTAGTAGTACTACTAATATTATTATTATGTCAACATCACCACCCTCCTCCATCAATTTATTTATTGAAACGTACGCGTCTTCAACTTTCCTCTTTTGTTTTTAGCACTTCCCTCACACTCGGAATATATTATACTGATGCATTTCATTAATTATTCCCCCAAGCATGCCAAAATATTAATTTACGAAATTTATTTTTAAGAATAAATTAATAATTAGTACTGGTACACAAACACTATGAGGTCAGATTGATAAATAAAAAACCTGAAATTGAAAATATCAATGAATAAAAATGACCTTGTACTTTTGTGGGGAAATAAAAGAATGTGAACGACAATAATATAATATAAACATTATATTTTGTATATATATCTTTTATTTCTATATGATAAAAATAGAATATCTTTTCAAGAAAAAATATTAAACTGACCACCGGTCTCTTATGTTTGCTTATATATCTTTTTATTTTATTAACGTATATGATATGATAATAATTACATTGAAAACTACATGCAATATTATATAAGTTTTCTGTGAGCGATATAGAAGTTAATGACATGGTTGGAGCACTAAAAAGGATTTAAAAAAAGAGAGACGAAAAGCTGAAGGAAAATTAAAGAGAAGAGAGAGTGAGATCATCGTGGGCAAAGAATACTTATATATAGGGCACCCTTTGTCATTCATTTCTTGTATGAAGTTCTGAAGCCAACCAAACTGAGAGCTTCTTCCTCTCATATACATCTCAACCGCATACATATAGTTCCCAGGTATGCTTTACTCTCTCTCTCTTTCTGTGCGCCTGCATGTGAGTGTGTTTTCTCCTTATACACAACAATACTGTTCAGAGTTCATTCTTCATGCAAAAACTTCTTACATGTATTATCCGCTTTTACTAATATAAAAGTTAGTCGAGAGTTAAATTTGGTTTTAAATATAAAATCTCAATCCACTTTATTTTTCATTCTTATCATACTTTTACTACATTATCTCTATTGATTACACAAGTTAACAAAGCTTGTATCAAAGGCTAGTTCCAATATAAATGATTTAATAGGGTATTTTAGAGAAACCAAAACATATGTTTGAAAAATAACTAATTTTTTTATCTCTCTAAATTAGCTAAGTAAGTCTTATATCAAGGACTGGATATCAAAATATCAAAATTTCTTAGAGTTCATGAACAAAACCCTTGTGATCTTAATCATCGTTTAATTTGTACTATATGTTATTATCTCTCTCTCTCTATATATATATATATATATATCTCACACACACACACTCACAAATTAAATCATGCATGCACAAATTGTTGTTTGTGTTCATGCATGCAAATTTGGCTCTAACTAGAATAATAGGATTATATTGGCTCATTTCATATAGCTATATTTGATCCAGCATGAAACGCACTACTTGAATTGAATGTATGTGTATTAATTGGATGATTGATTAAAATAATAAGACAGCCTAAGCAATTAACACACAAAATTTATATTTGGAAATGAATGACAAGTTTCTAAGTTCCACTGAGACACAGCAATTGTGGAGGACAAGTCATCAAACATGGGGGTGGGCGCGTGGCGTCCTGCCTGGTCTTTTGTACGGATACACGTGTCGTACACTTCAATGCTTCATTTCTTTTCCTTAAAATTAATTACTCTCTGACATTAAAAAAAAAAAAAGTAATTACTGTCTGGCCCCAAGAAAAAAAATCACATGAAACTCGAAGTTTTTTTTTTTTTTTGGGGACCAACACGTAACTTTGAGATGAATCATTTTCATTATAATAAAACGTTTGTTTCCACTTTCCAGCTTTATTTAGTTGAGCACAACTTGTCTAATTTGTTGTCATTTGAAGCTTATTCAGGAAATATTCACATCCCCACTAAACCTCTTTGATTAATTTTCACTGATGGAGAAGGTGGTGGCCGACACTAGTCGAAAAACACATAAAAAAAACAACTACAAGATTTAAATGGTTCATATTTTATTTTCAAGTTTGATTTTTAAAATTAAAAGTTGCATGCTGGAGAATGAAAATAGTTCTGCGTGCTTTTGATGAACCATATATATGATTTCTCATTGATCCTTCATGTACACTTGGCTTCTGCTTGCTTTAAAGTAAAAGTTTTACATTTCATTTCTTTTTTTTAAATTGCTTTGGACAGAATATCATCATGTCTGAGAATAGCATTTTGCATGCAACTAAGAGCAAGTGGAAGATGCCTCTCTTTGTTTTCTTCAAAGACGCAAGGTACGAAGCTCTCGGTTAACTACATATGATAGTTATATCAGTTTCGTCATTGTTGATTTCTTCTGCCTAGAAATATCTCTGTTGTTAAATACACTATGTCACTGCATAAAACTTATAAGAAGAGAATTTTGTTAATATATTTACTATGGATAACACTTAGTTTCCACTGATTAATGTGGTGATGTAGACTTGTTTTCAAGCTGGATTCTCTTGGAAAGGAGATATTAGGAATTGCATTCCCAGCTGCTCTGGCTGTTGCTGCTGATCCCATTGCTTCTCTCATTGACACTGCATTCATAGGCCACTTAGGTACGTCTTCTCATTTCAAAACACCCTTTTCAATAAGATTTTCCCTTAGATTGTGAACTAAATTACTACATACTTCTAGCCAGACTTGTTTACTTTGTTTTTCCCCCTCCTTTTTTGGCTATAGGACCTGTGGAGCTTGCTGCTGCAGGAGTTTCTATCGCATTGTTCAACCAAGCTTCAAGGATCACCATATTTCCTTTGGTGAGTATAACAACTTCCTTTGTTGCTGAGGAAGATACCATCGGAAAAGTTCAAGAAGCAGAGAAGAGCTTGACCGTTAGCCGTACTAAGTCTAGAGAAGCAATCTTGCCTGAGGATGATGATTCTCTTCAAGACTTGGAAAAAGGGTCATTTAAAGACAGCACTGAGAGTCTCGGGAAATCTTCATCTGAAAACAGTGACATGAAAGATTTCTCTATGCAGAAAAATTCTGCACTAGACAATATGGGAACAGATGCTGCTGGTAAAAATGATACAAATTGTGAAGATGGTACTTTCTCTATATCCCTCGCTGATTATTTAAGCCAAATCATGAGTTACAGTTAGAAGTTTTGAATTAACTCGTGAGACTTTCATAACAAATACAAACGCTGAAAAATGCAAGTCTTCTTCTGTTGTTAGTAGCACTGTAGGAGTGCCAAACTATGAGTTTCAGTCAGATGTATTTCATTTTAACTCGGAGACTTTCATGACAGATACAAACTCAAACAAATGCAAGTCTTCTTCTGTTGTTAGTGATAGTAGGAGTAAGGCAAATACTGGAATCAAGAAAAGGAGAAACATTGCTTCAGCATCAACAGCTTTACTTTTTGGTACAATTCTTGGCCTGCTTCAAGCTGTAACTCTTATATGTGCAGCAAAACCTCTATTAGGTGTGATGGGGTTGAAACATGTAAGTAGCTTTGATGCTTCAGATCATTCTTGAAATATGAAATTTACAGGAAAATTACTTGTGCAAGCTTCTGTTGCTGCTAAGTTATTTCTACTCTGTAGGATTCTCCAATGTTAGTCCCAGCAATAAAATACTTGAGATTGAGGTCACTAGGAGCTCCTGCGGTTCTTCTCTGCTTGGCCATGCAAGGAATCTTCAGAGGCTTCAAGGATACAAAAACTCCTTTATATGTCATTGGTGGGTTAAGCTCAAAGGTTATGCTATAGATGACAATTAGCATTTTAACAGTGCTAAGCATAAAGAAACTAACCAATATCTTCTCTAACTCGGCCATTTATATTTTGCTTTGATATAGTTTTGGGATATGCTGTAAATATCACTTTGGACCCACTACTTATATTTAAGTGTAAGTTAGGACTCAGAGGTGCAGCCATCGCACATGTTCTATCCCAGTAAGTTTTACCATGAATTTATATTAATTTATATTTGTTTATTGTGTCTGATGAAATTCAAGTGTTCTCAAGTAATCTCATATTGTCCCTCAACATCTTCGCTGATCTTTTTAGGTACATGATGGCAGTAGTCCTCTTTTTGATACTAATGAAGAAAGTAAATCTCTTACCTCCCAGTATTAAGGATCTGCAGATTTTCAGGTTTCTTAAAAATGGTAAGGAGCTCATATCCTATTGTAGATTTTATGCAATAAATGAAATCTAAGCATCAACTTATCTATCTGAATCTTTCAGTATATGGCCTTCATTTTTCTTCTATTGCCCTATTACAACAGAATAAGAAAGATGAACTGACAAATTTGGTGTACGATTGGAAACAGGAGGGCTGTTGTTAGCAAGAGTGGTGGCAGTAACATTCTGTGTAACTTTGGCAGCCTCGTTGGCCGCAAGACTTGGTTCAATTCCCATGGCTGCGTTTCAAACCTGCCTTCAAGTCTGGTTGACATCTTCCCTTCTTGCTGATGGTTTAGCTGTTGCTGTACAGGTAAGCCATTTGGTCAATCTCGTGTGCCTTAAAAAACACAAACAACAGGTTAATTAAGCAGATTCCATGGCTCACAGGCAATTCTAGCTTGTTCCTTTGCTGAGAAAGACTACGGCAAAGCAACATCTGTTGCAACCAGAGTACTACAGGTGATCACAAATTCTATGTACTGTAATATTATCTACTTCTTAAACTCATCACTCTAAAGAATTCACTGTTTTCTTGTTGCAGATGGGTTTTGTTCTGGGATTAGGGCTTTCTCTATTAGTTGGGGTTGGTTTGTACTTTGGAGCAGGAATCTTTTCCCAAAATGTTGATGTTCTGCACCTCATCAAAATAGGCCTTCCGGTACATGAATATAGATCTTTGAATGTTATAGTTACTAATCTAAGTATGTATAAATATGCTAACTATCTCAATTTTTTTTCCCCACTTTGTATCTGCCAGTTTATTGCAGCCACACAACCAATCAATTCATTAGCCTTTGTGTTTGATGGGGTCAACTTTGGAGCATCTGATTTTGCGTATTCTGCGTACTCCTTGGCAAGTTCACATGCCCTTGTCAATTTCGAAAATATTAAGAAAACATCAAACGATATTTTCATGTGTCAGAAATCTGACACTCACATTTTGTGTTATGTAGTACTCTATCATATCATAATGTCCATGTTAATATTCATGTCCAGGTCATGGTGTCAATAGCAAGTGTTATCTCGTTACTCCTTCTCTGTAAGAGCAACGGTTTCATTGGAATATGGATTGCACTAACCATCTATATGAGTCTACGCATGTTTGCTGGTATTTGGAGGTAATCATTCACCTTGTTCAAAGCAATAAATTACTCAACTTTCACTCTGCTATCTAGCTCTGCACTATCCTTGTAAACTTTGCAGAAAACTCAAGCACTTGTGATGCAAAAACTATGAAAGGAAATCATTGAAAAAAATATTTCCAGACATTATATTATGATGATGACTTAAGTGGAGGTTCAAATTCATGTGCAGGATGGCGACAGGAACAGGACCTTGGCATTTTCTTAGGAGACGCTCGCTGCCTTAGGTGATTAGAATGAGGGATTTGTGTCACTTTTTTTCTCTTCATTATGATCCCTCTCCGTAGGTTTTGTTTTGTTTTGTTTTTTCGGCATACATCTCTGTTCATCTCAGTGTTGTGATCATTTTAGGTCATGGGTTTGAATTATTTCAGAGTATTTCGTCGAAGTGTATCCCACTCACAGTGATTCTGTGGTATCAAATCGAATATATATATATATATATATATATATATTGTTCAGAGACTCAATGAACTACTTAACTTCTAACTCCATGCGTAATTTTGGAGAACTCACTTTGATCATACCTCTTTTCCTCATTTGAAAAATATATTATACTCATTTAGTCATCTGCGTTGACTTACTTCTCAATATAAGCAGACGATACATACGCCTCTGTCACGCCAACGTGTATAAACCAAGCATACATGCAGAAATTCTGGAGATCACACAAATTATGATTAGAGTGAAATATCCAAAAGCCTATTTCATGACAGCCTGAGGACCCTAATTTTTTTATAATATTAAAAGACCATTTATAAAAAAATCCCAGGTTTAAGGAAAGCTTTCACAACTTTTCTTCATATGAAATATCAGAAACATCGTCATCAATATTAATCCTTCCTGAATGTATGTTTGCAGCACTTTGTTCCCCCCACAGTCGTCTAATAGCATATTATATCCTTTTCGACAACTTATTTCCACAACTACTGTAAAAACGACGCAGCAGCAGCAGCATATTCCAACCTTTAGCCTTGTGATGTAACTGCTGATTTCCAATATTCACAATGCTCATTAAAAATGATCTAGATAGATACTTCAACTTACTATAATTATATAATACATATTTTGTCTGTTTGTCTGCTTCTCAAGCTGATCAAAGATCATACCGCCATGAAACTACCATAGGTACAACAGATGGAGCATGTGATCCTTGAGCTGCTTAGAAGTTTCTCCAGGAAACCATGAAGGTATGCTCAAGGCAATTTACACAGAGCCATGCGCAATCTAATCTAACTTTAATTTCTACTTAAGTGTCAACTGCACATGATTTAAGCACGGCATGACAGAACAAAATACAAGTCAGGCATAACACTTCATAGCAGACTTACTTTTTGTTTGAGCTAGTAGAGTAACAGAAGTGATATATTCAAACTGCTAGTTCTCTTTTCCTCTAGTTTGTCTAGCAGTTAATTCCACACTGCTCAGTGTCGGGACCCCTGACTCGAGTTATGAACGGATCAATCCGGACCCATAACAGTGAGAAGATGGAAGCGAGCAGAATGGACCAAACAACTACAATGGTTGGCGTTCGGTTCTGGCGGCCCATGAGACCTTTGAGGAAAGGATAGAGATGGATGATCACCCAAAATGCAAAGAAAAGCTTACCAAATAGTGGACCCCATGACTGGTAGCCACTATTGATGGCATAGGAGATCCCAGCAACAACACCCACCATGTTTATGATGAGAAGTGTTGTGGGGGGGATGAGAAGGGTTGTCCATTTGAACATGTATAATTCAGCGTAGTCACCTTCTTCGTCAGATGCCTTGGAGGTAACCGTGAAGTTGGTGTCAATTCCAGCAAGCACTTTGAGTAAACCTTGGAAGACAGCAAAAAGATGAGATGAAACGCCACCTATGACCCAAAATTGCTCGTTTCTCCACCACTCATCAATTCCGACTCCACTCCACCTCATCTCAAGGATACCAGTTGCGAAGATGGAAATGAAGAGAGAGATAAACCATATGCTTGCAATGTTACTAATCTGCAAACAAAAGTAAAATGAGTCAGACTTGGAATATTGTTGCCACAAAAAGCCCCAGTTTTGAAAAGTTCTGGAGCATTTAGCTTGTGAAATCACTGAATCCCTAGGAATGTTACGTTCCCATGTTTGGTTCAGGTTTTAGAAAAATGCTCCTACGAATTAACGTTCCTGGGCAAGTTTAATTCTTGTACGGAGGAAGAAGTTTCTGTAAGGGATCACTCAATGCAGAGTATCAGAAGAAAGCAATTCTCTGAAGGGGATAAGGGATCACTCAATGCAGATTATCAGAAGAAAGCAATTCTCTGAAGGGGAAAATCATATTTTAAATTTTAAAATACTAATACATCATTTTGCTACAAGGCACCACGACGATTGATGACATCAGCAAATCTTCAAATGACAAGTCATAAAATTTGATTAAGTATGACTGATGTTATTTGATAACATCTTTGTTCCACTCTTATTCCCCTGTTCTTTTTCTTTCTAGAAGGCAAAATTTCTCAACTATCATCACTTTAAAGCAGGAAATCTAAACAAACTGGTTACCAAGAAATTACAACTTTGGAGAGACAACAGACCTGGGGAATGATGAACTTATTTGTGAGAAGACAGACAGCAGGCAAGGTACAGTACATGAGAAGGGGAATGGCAGTGACTGGATAGATTGTGGTGTTCACATATGCAAACCTCTCGAGCCACTTGAGCCTTCCACCATAACCATACCAGATGGGGCAGTGCCGACTAAAAAGAATCTCCACAGAACCCAGAGCCCACCGAAGCACTTGGTTCAGACGATCTGAAAGATTGATAGGAGCAGAACCTTTGAATGCTGGGCGCTTTGGTATGCAATATATTGACCGCCAGCCACGGGCATGCATCTTAAATCCTGTAAGAATATCTTCCGTAACAGACCCATAGATCCATCCTATCTGTCACAAAGGATACAATTCATGATTATAATTAAGATTAACTGCAAACTATTAACAGAAATCCAAATAATTTAACAATGACCAACATGCAAAGAAAACCAGTCCTCATAACAGACACGTAGATCCATCGTATCTGAAGCTATGCTTTGGCAAACCACAAAGGATCCACTAGGGCGTTTAAATTTACATTTTCATCATGTGAGATTTTATTAAGAGAATATTGCCATTATATCCATTTTTTACTTTATCAAATAAGTGGTCTTCAAATTCACCAATTTGTTAGTCATATACAACACAGAGGAAAGAAATTGGGAACAGAAAGAAATTAGATGGAACGTCAAACATCACCTCACTTCCCCAATCCGTTTTGTCCTCATAACCACAGCTGATAACATGAATAGCCTCCTTAAGAAGAGTGTCAGGAGTAGCAGACTGGGGAACACCGCCATTCTCCATGAGTGTGGAAGCAACAAAGACAGCAGATTGACCAAACCTTTTCTCAAGGCTCATTTGGGACATAAGTAGTGACTTCTCATCATCAAATCCAGCACCTAAATATAAAATTGTACAAGAGGCCTTTTAGTAGCGTCTAAGTAATTAAATACGTCAATCCTTCATGCCAAGTATAAACCTTTGAAGTGTTTGCTAAAGAACAAATTGGGGGTCCTTAGATGTTGAAAAATGCCAATACGCATGTTTTTATTAGAAATCTTAATAGAGAACACCTCAAAACTGCACCCAAGTTTTGTAATTAAGGAAATTATGGGCAGTAAAGTTAAAGGTCCCTTGTCTGTTAAATAAGGAATACAAGAACGGAATCACAAAACTAGACAACAATCTTTGTAAGACTAAATGCGACCAAAAGTCCAAAACAGTTTGAATTGTAGATCATACATTAATTGCACATATAGAAGATAGGTGATATGCTTACCTTCCACTCCTTCTTCTATATCTTCCAGATTGTATATGGGGATGGTTGGGTCAGCATGCTTGCTAGATTTTTTCTTGTCTGAACCTTTCTTACTAGATTTCGAACTCTTCTTCCGACTTCCACCACATAATGAAGACAGCACCCCTGGCTTTTTATGTTTGGGTTTGAGAGGAGGTTCATAACCATATAACGCTGTCCTGTTGAAGACACAACCAGTGCCCACATAAACAGGGCCTTGAATGCCATCCAAACCTCTCAAGTTTATCTGTCATTCAGAACAACATGAAAGGGGAAATAATTATCACCTACTGACAATGGAAGCTCATGCTTTCAAACATAGCACATGCCAGAACACAGAAATATGATATACGCATGGAAGAACAATGAAAGAATTAACTAAACCCAAAGAAATTCCCCATCATACATCATTGACATCCCCGTGTATTGCAGTTCATATTCATAAAATTTACAAATCGTTATTATTACACATTATAAAAAACTAGTTTCCCAGTCTTAATGAGCCATGAATTGGTATCATTCAAATATACACAAGCACACACAACCAAATGTATATACAGATATAAATATGCATGCTCCTTTTCATACTCATATAAACATATGCCTTTAACTTTACACAATTATGTTGAAATTAAAATTATATTTTCCACATGCATTAATTTGGAGAACTTGTCTATCTTGCCATGGCTTGCAGCACAGTAAAGCTCAGCCAAATGAACAAAGATCCGTAGCATAGTGTATATTTACCGTGTTACATATTCACAATTTGCAACAACACGCTAAACTAAGGACAAATCCACCACGGTATAAAAGCCCTGCCCAATCAGGAACAAAAGATATTACACTAATACCAAAAGAAATCATTTTTCTGGTTGAGGCTGACATCTGACAATCTCCCAGAAGATGGCAAAAGAAGGGGGTTAAGAGAATGGAAAAGAAGAAAGATCCCTCAGAAAGCCAAGCATCAACAAGGAGTGGGCATGAAGAACGGTTTGGTTCCTCGACCTCAGCAACAAGCATTGCTAAGAGGGAGCTCCATCTTTTCATGTTGATTTCCATGCTCCTCCTTCTGATTACTAAACTTTTCCTCACTGGGATTCCATTATTACCCCCTCAAACACAATCTGACTTAAACATATTGCTTCACCCACTTTCTATGCAGTAAAGATACATGGGGATGAAAAAGAACCCTAATATAGATCCCCCTCTTTAATGGGATAATAAGGTTTTTCCCAATGTTTTTGTTGCACGAATAACATAGACACCTTGTTCTTTAAGCTTTTTCGGAAAATAATATACAGCACTTAAACTACAAGACTACACCAGTTGTGATTTTCTCTAGAGGAGTAGAAGTGGATCATAAATAAGTTTTAAAATTAAAGATTTGAGTACATCGTATATGCAAAGAAGGATCACAAAAATGTAACCATATGCCCCAAAAACAATAAATGCCATGCCACATATATCAACACCAATAACTGAAATAAGGTATTACTTAATAAAATATAACAAATAAATCTGTTGTCATAAAATACTTACATCAAAGAACACTGTATTACGATTTGCATATCGATCATTCCTGTCAATACCATCAAACCTCTGTGGAAACTGAACATAGCAAACATGTTTCCCTAGGTTGGGATCCATCATAAAGCACATGGCTTCCCTCAAGGCTTTGCTATTGTTTATGTAGTGATCACAATCAAGATTCAATAGGAAAGGTCCATTTGTAAGGACAGCTGAAACTCGAACCTGTAACAATTATTTTAATCATCATTAGTAAGATGAGTTATAAGAACGCAATCAAAACATAAGCAATTTCTATATTTTCTATTGCAGACACTCACAAGGGCATTCATGGCACCAGCCTTCTTGTGATGTTGGAATCCGGGACGCTTTTCACGAGAAACATAGACTAAACGTGGAAGTTCGTTACCCTCTGTGTCAAGCCCTCCACTTTGGCCCAAGAAAACCTACAGAAGGAGAATGCAGTTAAGAGATTTAACATGACACTTGCAAAAATACAAGGGATGCATAGAATAAGACTTTTACAGATGTGATTGACTATGAAGTTAGAAACATAATACAAGAATCCTTGAAAAGAGTGAGATCTAGAAACAACTTTGGGAATTGATACAAAACGTAATAATTAAAGCATAACAGGCTGTCCAAAGTCATCCATCTTCACAGAAGAAATCAATCAAACAAAAGAAGAGAACTACCTGAATCATTCCAGGATGATCTCTGGTGTTGTTTCCAGGCCACGGAGTACCATCTTGCATTACCCATCCTTCTTCAGGAACTTTCTCAGCCTTTGCAACAAGTGCATTAACACGAACTTTAAACTCCTCATATTCTCTCTGTGAAGCAGAGAAGCAAGTAATCATTGAAAGAAGCCCTAAAGGAATAGATAGTATAGTATTTGCAGTCACATTGAGCACCATAGTCCAATTTATAGGTCACACTCTAACCTTCATGGCTCTACGATCTTTGACGAATGACGTTTGGATCTTGTCTTTTAAGTAGTCAATCTTCTGTGCAAAATACCACTCTGGTGCCCGAGGTTCAATGTTATATTTTTTGCAGAAAGGAACCCATTTCCTTGCAAATTCTGCTGTCTCTGAAAGAGCTTCAAATGTAAGCATAGCAGCACCATCATCAGAGACATAGCAAGAGACCTTATCCACGGGATAATCAACTGCAAGAATAGATAGTACAGTATTTGCAGTCACAAGTGGAGGCTCCTTTAACGGGTCAACAGTACTGACAAATATATCAACAGCTGCTAGCTGCGATGGTTCCCCTTCCCGGTCATATCTGCAACTCACACAAATTTAGTATTAAAAGAATACAAAACTGAAAATAGGAAGAGAGAATCCAGATAACTGAAAATTTTTACCTCAAGGCCAGTCTGTCAAGATATGTTTCACGGTTTACCGGTAGCCACTTAGGGAATTGATCCAATATCCAGGAAATGGCAAACCAAATCTCACATATGACTGATACTAACCACAATGCATATGCATTGCGCACAGGATTTGTAATACGGTAATGCAAGAACATGCAGAGGATAATCAGCCGCAGAATAATGACCATACGGTATGGATTTATCCTAGATGATGGAATTGAAACTTTCCTGGAAAGAGGTTGCCGAGCCTCATCATTTCTGCAACACATATCATATAAATAAGTGACTAAATCGAATGGCTATGGTTAATGAGCATGCAATTGTCAACTACACATACAACATCTGGACCACAAAAATTCCGAGGTGTGAGTCATCATATACCAAAATATGGGAATTAACCGTATATGGCTTTTGGAAAGGAAAAAAAAATCCACTTGCCACCAAGATGTATCACAATCTAGAAAAGTAGATACTCACAACAAGGACTCATCCACAAGCACATCAGTACTAGCATCAATGTCTCCAGCTCCTCTTTCAGAAGCAGCTTGGCCAGTGCTCATTGGAACAACATTCTTTTCCTGCTTCATCTTCCAACCATCAACCCTTTCTTTCCAAGCTACATTGCCCAATCCTGGATCCACAGCCCTAATATTTGCTGCACGCAACATGCATCTCAAGTCATTATTAGATAGCTACATGAAGAACTAAAGCAACATATGTGGATAATAAATGAGAATAATTGCAATGGGGGGCCAGAAAAGTTACGTGATTGATTAATATCAGATGAATATGGAAGACTATGGACACGCTTCCCTCCACCAACTCCAGGGGATGCCATTGAAAGCCTCTCAGGTGAGGCTGCAGATAGTTCTCCAGAGACCTGAAATTGAAGGTTCATGAAACAAAACAACTTTCAAATATCATTAAAGGATCTTTGGAATACGTCGTTGAAGGAGAAAGCGTATTGTCCCTCCCCCGGAAAAATACAATAAGAGAAAAATAGAAAAGAAAAGAATATCAGATGCCAAGGTTAGGAAGCTGAATGAATGACCTCTTGCCCGCTAGTTAGTAAAGGAATGTGGCTATGAGAAACTTCTTTATCATAAGTTGGTGCACCAGTCTCCTCTGCTCGCCCATATGTCATGTGCCAACTTAGCATGCGCTCTGAAATTTTTTGCTTTTGGTTCTGATTCTCTAAATCATAATTCAGGTCACTAGCACCATCATTAGCAACACCATCCTCCTCCCCATCTCCAAGAATTGCAGGACTTCCTGAAATCAATTAAGAAAATAATTATGATTACGAGTCACAAAATAGCAGTTCCCAAAAATTTACAGGGTATTGCATTTTGCACTTTCGTTTTTTTTTTTTTTTTGGGGGGGGGGTGATTGCAGGGGATCACATATCAAAAGAGAAGTTGTGACATCAGGATAAGTAAATCCAATTAGCAGTGGATGCATTCTTCCTACTTCAGCTAAAGAATGTGACATATGCCATCAAGATAAAGTGATTTGTACAGATCGTGACACCTTCTGGTATATCCATCCCAATAGCAAATGACTCTGCTTTCCAGGCTTTAAGTTCATAGCCTTCCCATTACAGTGAAATAGCTCACGAAGAAAACTTCCTAAAATGAGAAAGTTATGAGCTTTCTCATTTTGACATGCAAGAGATCAACTTACTCAGCCCAGTTCAAACTTCTGAGCAAAATTCAATTTTCAAGCGTATCAGAATCTCACTTTGACATTGAGTTTTGCAGTTTGCACTATATGCATGGCGAGTCATCAAAATCAACAATCAATAGGTAACATTTTATAAAGTCTTCTACCTTTGTGCCTTTTGTACCGGGTTTTGCACTGGGGGCAAGACTGATTTCCATCCTTCCTTTCATACTCATAGCACGGCCTGCAAACCGGAAAAGCACAAACATCACAGGCAATGAATGGTTCACCATCCACAGTCTTCCCAACATTATCACCACATATTTGGCACACTTGGCCACCCAATGCTGTCTTTGGCTTTGCCTGATCACACATGCATAACCAAAACTAAGTTAGTAAACCAGGTATTGAAACTTGAAAGTGCTAGTGAGAATCAATAAACAGTAATTGAAGCCAAACAAGGAATAAATTCGTAATATTTGAGGAAACAAATGGAAAATAATAATCTCACCCCAGCTTCCCCTTCCGACTCCATAAGCTACTACTTTTCTAAAAGGGATCAAACGATAGTCCAAGCTCACTAAGTTATATAATCGCGGAGAAGATCAATTTGGAAGCATCCCCTGTTGCAGAAATGAAAGCAGCTCCTTTTCCTGTAGAAAAGAAAGCTCAATCAGACCCTAAAACAGCTTTCTAACTTCCAGTAAGATATTTCAACAGTTTGCAGAAGTGAAAAAGTTCAGATCTTTGGAATTATGTTCAGTTACAGAAAAATGTCGGGCGAACGAAGCGAAACATGAGATACTAAACCACAAAAGAGCCATTGCATGACTGAAATAAAAAAAACAACTTCCCAACTGAAAATAATAAAAATGTTCCTCTTCCCTAAAATCATTTCGCAAACAACATTCATCATCACTCAAGCCTAAACTTCGGCTTAAGTTAAAACTCAAAAGTAGGCTCGAGTTTCATTCCCTAACTTTCCCAGAAGCCAAAGATTTCAGTATTGCATTTTAAAGGCGCCACTTGCCTCAAAAAAGCGAACTTTATCACCGATCGACCGCAAAACAGGTAAAAGACCCAGATTCCGAGAAACCCCAGAAGGATTTTTCGACAAGAAGCCAAATAAACGAAAAGAAACAGACAAAGAGAGTAGAGTTATCCTAGCTCAGCAATTCTTGTCAAGAACTGAGATATGCCATTCATAAAAGACCAAGACCGCAATGACAAACCGCAAAAAGGGAATCATAGAGACATGGCATACCCTTTTGTAGAGATGAGTGAAGTGGAAATCTATAAAATACAGAAACGGCTTAGAGAATGGAGACCAGGCCGCCGACAGCTTGATAATTAGACACAGTGAGCGGAGCCAGAGAAAGTAAGAAACACATTACACACATAATCCGTATCTCTCTTCCCCAACATTTATTCTCTTAAGATTTAAAAAAAGAATTTTTATCTATTTATTTATTTGATACTACAAGCAGCATCCTTTGTTAATTAATTAATTTATTTATTAACCTTGTTGAGTACAGAACTAAAAAGCAGCGTGGGCAGACAAGTTAGCAACAAGCAACAGCTGGGGTTTTGATTCTGAGAAAGACACACAATGCCTAAATGCGGGTGAGCTGTGAGCTGTTGCCCTGCGAGCGCGTCTGGTCCTTTATTAGCTAATCCAATTTTGCCACGTCACTCACATGATCCAACGTTACACGGTTTTGTTATCAGTGTTAAACGAAAACTTTTCCATAAGCTTCTTGTTTATTACCCGAGAAAAAGTAATGGAAGTGGTGTTTCATACACACACATATATGTACATATCTATATATTCATATCAGGAAATGTGAAGAAAAAGATAAAAGCTGATGAAAGATTTATGTTTACTCTTTTGGATTTATGCTTTTTTAATAAAGTTCTATGAAATCATTGTATGTTTGCGTGCGACATACGTGTTTGGATGAAATTTTTTTTCTTTTCTTTTTCTGTTGGGTTAATAAAGATTGATTTTTTCTTAATTTCATTGTTTATAAAAATGCTTTGATTGTGGTTTAAACTTTTTTTTTACCAGCATGATTGTGGTTTAAACTTTGATCTCTTCATAAAATTTTATTTTTATATTATTGTGATTTTGTAAATTTATTTTATCTTTACCTACTATTCAAGCGCCTCAACTAAACAACAATAATAACAACAACAACAAAGCCTTATCCCACTAAGTGAGATTGGCTACATGGATCGCATGACGCCATTGAACCTTATCCAAAGCCAAATCTTTGGGTAGATTATTAATTAAAAGATCTCTCTCAATGACTTCATTAAGCGTTGTCTTCGGTTTTCCTCTACTCCTTTTTAGAGGACTCCATACTGTTTACTTAACTCTTCTTATCGGCGCGTCCCAAGGCCTTCTTTGCACGTGACCAAACCATCTCAATTGGTTTTCTACCATTTTCTCATCAATAGCAGCCACTCCAACTTTTCCTCTTATATGTTTATTACGGATCTTGTCTTTTCTTATATGACCACACATCCATCTCAACATTCTTATCTCAGCAACTGCCACTTTATGTTCATGCTCTCCCTTTAAAGCCCAACACTTGCTGCCGTATAGCATTGTCGGTCTCATAGCAATGCTATAAAACTTTCCTTTCACCTTATTTGGTACTTTCCGATCACAGATAACTCCTGTTGCTTTTCTCCATTTAAACCACCCAACTTGAATTATGTGATTAACATTTCCATCAATTTCCCCATCTTTTTGTATAATTAATTCCAAATACTTAAACCTTTCCACTTGTTGAATGACCTGGTCTCCCAATCTGACCTCCAACCTTGTACTAACTTGTCTCTTATCAAAACTGCAATGTATATATTTCGTCTTGCTTCTTGTAACATCCTAAATATTAAAAATATATATTAATTAAATAATATAAAATAATAATGCTTTATTAAAAAGAAAAAAAAAGCATTAAGCTTTTCCACCGAATTTGGTGGAAAAGCTGATGCCATTTAAGAGGAAGAAGAATTATGGGGTGAAGACCATTGACAGAAGGAAGAAAATGAGAAGAGGCATTTACAAAGGAGAAGAATTTTAGGGAGGTCATTTATTGAAGGTAGAAAGTTTGGGGTGGACGGTTGGCAATTTGAAGAATAAAAAGAGGGAGTGATAGCAGGGAATGGAAAGAGGGAGTGAGAGGCATAGAAGGAGAGATCGAGAGAAAAGAAGAGAAGTGTTAGCATTTCGAAGAGTAATACAAGCTTTGGGAGATCATTTAGGTACATAAAAACACTTCTTTCTATTAAATTTTTTTATGAATATTTTCTATATATTTAGAGTTTTATATTAGTAGTATTACTACAATGTTTAGAGAAAATTTTGTGATTTGGGTATAGAGTAAGTATTGAGTTTTGAAAATATTTGACCATAGAAATTTAAAGATATATTATTAAAAAATTTTAATTTTAGATTTGTCCATTTATTACTTTTGGTATTTAAAATTAAATTTATTTGTTGAAAAATCTGTCGTTTATGATATATATCATATTTATACCGATTAAAATTAAGTTAAATAATTTATTTGGGTTGTTTGATATATTATTGAAATTTTAATCGGTTTATATTTGTTTATTGATTGTTTTGAGAATTTTAAACTAAGATTTTAGTTGGAGAATGTATTATTCAAGATATATAGAATGTTTTTACCGATTGAATTTAAGTTAAATAACATATTTGGGTTACTTAATATATTATTGATATTTTAATCAGTTTAAAATTTAAAATAGGTTAAGACTATATTATTAGAAAAATTTGGAAACTGGAAACTTAAGTTATAAATTGAGATTCTTACAATATTATATAAAAACAATATTTTATAAATATTTATAATTTAAATGAGTTATCTGGGTAGGGAAAATTATTATTTGAAGTAAGAATTTTGGATAGTAAATATATGTATAAATATTAATAATAATAAATCCTATGTAATTTAAGTTATTTATTGGTATGTATATTAACTTGTATCTACATTATTTGTAGATTATCCTGTACTTCGGAGTCTGTAATTTGTGCTCTAATTTTTCAAGTTGTGAGGTTAAGCTTAAAGTAGAGGTAATCGAGGTTAATTTATTTTATATACATGCTTTGGATTGTAAGGTATTTATTATATTTTTATTTTCTCAAGTTAATTTGTGAAATTATGCCTGTGAATAAAGTGTATATTTTCTTATATGACAAATTTTGGTGAAGTGGGAAGTATGTTGATTTAATTATGCTTGAGTTGTGCTTTATTGTAAATTTTGTTTTCTTGTGGTGCTGAATTTAATATACTAATATTATGTTATTGGGAAAAAAATGTGTCGTACTTTGTTTGAAATTATATCATCTTACTTTGAAAAATTATGAGATTTTTAATATATATATATTGTGACTATGTGTAGGGTTCATATGTAGAAGTTGGGATTTTGTTATGTGGAGGATAATTGTTCTTGAAGCCCGCGCGGCATGCCTACACTACGGATCCCAGTGTTTGGCCTTTTTATTAGACCCCTGTAGTTCTTCCTTTTCCTTGGCCCGGAATTGAGAACGAACTCTTGGGTAGACACCTCTTGCAACATAGTCCATTTTTAGGCGGTGTAAGTACAGGAGGGGGCTCGTTGCTTGATGTGAGTGGGGTGACCTTTGGTCGGGTTACTCAGCACAGAAAGCCCGGGTCCTTGTCAAGGAGTCATAAGGAGGAGCAAGGTGATGGGAGGGCATATTTCATTGTGTTGTTGCATGAATGTACTTTTATATGAATTGTGTTGTGGATGGAGAGATATACTCTTTTTATGTGATTGTATCTATTTAAGTATCATTTATTTCTTAAACTATATTTAAGCACTACTTCACCAACTTGCCATCCTACTTGTATATGTCATAAATTAATATTTGGTTACTGGGACTTTACGTCTCACCCCGCTATTCATCAATGCTTTTCAAGAGAGCCATATAATTTGGCTTGATGTGAAGGGAAGCAACCAGAGGCATAGGCAAGCATAGCCTAGTAGTCCTCTTTTGGTTTAGGCATGTAATGTTATGTATATTGCCATCCTAAGGGCCACGACTGTGTTGACATATACTCTCTTTTGTTTGGATGACTATATTTGATGGAATGCTGTTAAAATGGCTGAAGGCCATAAGACTCTGTTGTATGCAATACTCTTATGTGTATGACTTGTGGGCTGGGTTGAGCACCCTATGTTTTTTTTTTTGCGCCCTAAGTCTTTGTGGGATGAATGTTATGTTGGACTTGTGGGCGGTTACTGTGTCCTGAGGCTTTGTTCTACGTATTGTTAAACCATGTGTGTTTTATATATCCTAAGCCACTTGGGATGTTTCGGAATAAGCCAAATTCTTTATAACCATGGTAGTATTTTAACGCTCTAACTCAATTCTTTTTCTACCATGGTTATCATTTTAAAAATGGTTTTATAATTATGTATTAAGAAGAGGTCTTTTCACTTCTACTCAAACGGAAACCCTTCGATTCTAAGGTTCTT